GGGGCTCCGGCAGCGGTGCGGTGGGGCGCAGGTGGGGCAGGGCCAGCCCTTTGCTTGGCAAGGCCGAGCCGCATCAGCTTCCGTTAGTTGTCACCAACAGCAAAAAGAAGCATCTTTGAGGAGACTCTCAAAAGACCCTCAGTAACGTCGCAGTTAAGCTGATCAGCTCCTCTGTTTTCTATAGGCCACAGCGGCCTGGGGAGGGGATTGCTTCTCAGGAGGGAGGCTGCTTATCCTGACCACCTCCAAGCCCCCCACCCTGTGGGGCAGCTCAGCACGCAATGGAAACACCCAGCTCCCAGGCTCTCCTTCCCCCTCTACACACACACACACACACACACACACACACACACACACACACACACATTCTTTTTTGGCTACTAGACTCTTGTTAACTCTCATTTAATTAGCAAATGACTTCCTTTTGACTGAGCACATTAATTAGGCCAACGCCCTGCCAATTCCTTGGCATAGGCCCTGGGAGCCCAGCCTTCTCTGCCATGGTGGAGTGAGAAGCTGCTGGGGCTCCCTAGAATTGCAAAGATGCTCTTGAACTGAGCATGATGCCAGGGTTCTCTCCAGAGCCATCAAGGTGGCTCTCTTAGCAGCCACGTGGACGTGGCTTGCCTTTGTCTTCTGCCCAGGTGGCTTTCATTTTCTCAGGCTAGTCTTCTAACTGGGAATTTCCCAGGGGCCTCCGTGTCCTAACCAGGCAGAGCCTCTCCTGTTGAGCTTCCAAACCCAAGGTGGTCTGCTGCTGCTGCTGCCAGCTGCTGGGAGTTGGGATCGTCAGCCCTCCAACAATCACTGGTTGAGTCTGAAGAGGGTCATCTAGCTGCTCCCCTGCCTAGGCAAGGTCGTAGACCAATTCACACCACTGATTGGATAGGTTTAAACACAGCTTTGGGTCTCTGCAACTGCAAAGGAGACAGGAAAGGCCATCTGAGAGGGCCTCGGCGGTGTTGTAAAAACGGGTGGGTGTCTCAAGCCTGACAGCGAGCAGCTCCTCTGGCAACAACCCTCTTAGAAAAACATGTTTACTGTCAGTGGGCTTCAGGTCTGCGCTGGGACACCCACTACTTCTGGCAGCACAAACAGAATCCACCTTCCTCCAAGGGTTCTGGGGACAGCGAAGAACCTGCACCTCTCCGTTGCGTCCCTGCAGAACCCCCCTGCGTACAAAAGGCCAGGAGTCCCATAAGGAGGTAAAAGCATCTACGTATGCTCTGTGTGTGCATCATTTTACGTGCTGGGGTTGGTATCCAAGTTGCAATGATTAAGATGCAGCCGTCCAAACGCTCGCCCTTACTTTAAGCGTGATGTCGCAATTGCATTGGCGTGTGTTTCCATGCTGTTATGCGCTGGAAGTAATCGCAGGTGTAGAAGGGGGCGGGAAAGGGTTTGCGCCAGAGGTGCTGCCGTGCAGGCTTTTT